AAAGGAGCCAGTTGAGGTGGTTTGGACATCTGGTGCGGATGCCTCCTGGGCGGCTACCCGGAGAGGTTTTCCATGCATGTCCTACAGGGAGGAGGCCCCGGGGCAGACCTAGGACTCGCTGGAGGGATTATATCTCTCGGCTGGCCTGGGAACGTCTCGGTGTCCCCCCCGAGAAGCTGGTGGAGGTAGCTGGGGAGAGAGAGGTCTGGGTGCCTCTCCTGAAGCTGCTGCCCCCGCGACCCAAACCCCGGACAAGCGGTAGATGATGGATGGATGGAACTAGTTGGTCCTTATTTAGTTGGGGTAAATCCAAGGTATCGAGGAAGGTGGTGATATCTGATTAGCTTGGCTGTTTATTAGGGGTGTATAATTTTGTGTAAAATTCCAGAAATGCACTGTTTATTTCTTTGCGTGAATACATGGTCAGCCCTGACGAGTTCCTTATTGCTGGTATAACTGATTTTTCTTTATTCTGTTTGAGTTGGTTGGCCAAAATTTTCCTTGACTTGCTATCGTGTTCAAAATGTTCATGTCTAAGTCTCTGAATTTGTGCTTTTTTTATTAATAATATTGTTGAGCTGTGATTTGGTGTCTGTCAGGTCCTTTGGCACATTTTTGCAATTTCACACAACTGGACGCAGGGAGTTTAAACACTTCAAGGTTCCATGATATATATGTTGTTATGACATTATCCTGTGCACACACAGACGTACAAAAATACACGTACATGCACTTACCAGTGGCGAAGCGATACTTATGTAGAGTCCCTTTAGAGGACCCACAAGTGACCTCAAGGGAGTTCCCCTTAAAGTCTGACAGATCCACTTCTTTGTGCTGTTCTGCATGTTCATTATCATCTCCATTGTCTTCCTCCTGCATGGATTCCTCTCTGAAGTCTAAAACATTTGTTAATGAACACAGGGAAAAATGGTTCTCTTTCAGAAGTGAAGGCTTTTTCCTCGTAGGAAACATGTTGCACTGAAATTGATAAACAAAGATGCCACACAGATGGTCAAACATCTTACGACGTAATGAAAAGTCCAACAGCAGAATGAAACCCAACCTGGCGACAAGCTTCGCGAACAGCGATGGGTAGGAGGCTTCTTCCTGCCCTGAGGAAAGACAGAGATGTGACGTAAACCCCCGGGCCTGACAGCAGGGTTCACACAGGCGACAATGTGCGTAAACTGTACTGCACAGAACAGAGGACACAAATTGCGTAATGATACCAGTGCATGTGTCAAAAAAAGACTTCCGGGAACTAGTGGTGGGTAGTTAAGCTCCAGAGTTAAATTCCAGACCAAGATTTTGTTTTAACCCACCAGTTAAGTACAAGGAGTCACAGTCAGAGTGTACTCAGCTGGTTGGCTGAAACAATATCATGGTCAGGAATTTTACTCTCTGGACCAGAACAACCCACCTCTGTCAGGGACCATCAGTTAGCAGACTGACAGGTACCAGGGCAACTGCGACTGAGAGCACAGGCAGCCTCTATTCCAGCAGAACAAAGTACATTCTAGAGCGGATCGCCATTCTTTTTCCTCTTACATATTTCCTCCAGTCCTCAAACAGCACCCCAGAACCTATAATCTTCTGCCCACAAATGTGGTGACAGACCTCCTAAAACTCACTTTGTCCCCAGCAATCTAGTGTGGATTCTTGAAACCTTCCCCTATATTCCGAAACCAAGCTCTCGGCAGCATGGAGTCTGCAACAGCTGCATGCTAGCAACACCGAACCTTCATTCAGGCTTGTGGACTGAGAGATGAACACTGATGGTCATCCTACATGGGAAATGGTGAAGCTAGGATCATCACTACTACAATTCTTGGTCCTCCAGCTTGCTTATGCAACTTCTTGGCCTTGTCATGTGACAAACATTCCAGAATAGCAAAGATTAACCCCAGGTAGGCCCAGAACCGTATATTTTGTTTGAGGTAATGGGGTGAAAGCGGCATACGGTTTACTGTGTGGGAGGGATTCACTACCTGCAAACGCCTTCGAGGGAAGGTCTTCAAATGACCACCCTGCGTAGAAGGTGTGAAACACAGAAAGTGAGTATTAGCATGATCTGGACCGAACTGATTAGTCCAGTAGCAGCATATGACACAAACAGACATGAGTGTAGACATCGCTGTGTGTTGGAGAAGGTCACTCCAAGCCCGCTAACCTGGATCAGTTTATGCAGACTGGTGCCTTTACACTGAATGCTTTTCTTCCAGTTCTTGTAACTCTTCTTTCCACCAAACACCTCAAACTCAGGGGGAGTGAACCAATCTGTTCCTACCAGGATACATTTCTCCCCTAGAACAGACACGGTGACACCCAGGATTGACAGAGACTCACACAGTCACACAGCAAAATTAGCAGCTCATCAAAGCAGCACGTCAGTGTGATGGCTCAACCAATAGAAACATTTTGCCTCTAATGCTGGTTTTAAGCAGGCAGATCTTCCAATACTACTCGCTGATGATTTTACATGGTAAAACAGACACTAACAGCACTTCTGCTTTTATATAAAATTCTTTTCTAGCTATGAGAAACAGACACTAATACTTTTAGTTAGTTCCTTATTAACTGATACGATTACATAAAATAAACAGCAGAATCGAAGAAAATGACGAGTCTCACCATGCTAAGCTCTCAAATGGAAGCAAATACAGTGTTGCTGATTTTTGATACTGTCCTTTCTATTCATAAATGAACTGTGTTCATTTGCATCTCCTACTCCTATGGTATGACATGCATCTAGGTAATGGTCTAGGATATGGTACAAAAAAACATAGTTAACCATGTAACAATTCAATATGCTTCAATTCATCTTTGAATTGGACGTTAATTAGATCAGTTGCACACATAAGGAAGTGTCCTACTTTTAAAACAACTTATATTTATGAAAAACCACATGATCTTAACCTGGAAAAATATTCCAGTAATAGTGATTTGATGGGTTTATCGATTTTCAGCAGATTTATCGTTTTTTGGTTGATTTCCTTCTAAATTTTTGTCAGACTGGGGGTTTTGAATCAATGCAGTTATATTGTAGATATTCAGACTGGATATACGATTCAGATTGTCTCACACACAGACACAAAGTCACTGTCTATCCTAAAGATTTTGTGTGTTATAATACAATACAGTGGTACCTCAGAACTCAAATTTAATCCGTTCAGATCTCCGGATCGAATCCTAAAAAGTTCAAATTGTGATCGAATTTTCCCCATAAGAAATAATGGAAAACCAATTAATTGGTTCCCGGCCCCAAAAAATTACACCTAAATATGTTTTTTTTTTAAGCATTTAAACACAAAATGAACCGGATAAAACAAGAGCATATACTGTACTAAACACATCTAAGCACATTTATCAAAACAGTAATTTGTAAAGTAAAAAAATAAATGTATCCAAACAATGTGTCCTGCCCCGATCGTCTGCTCCTTCCGCGTGCCACATGTAAACATGCACGATGCTATCACAGCTAATGCGAGGCTGAGACTGAAGCTTTACCCTTTGTTTCCGCTGAGAGACGTGCCGAGTGACTCATTTCCCCGCGCGTACAAGTTCTGAGGTCGGCGTTCACGGTTTGACTTCTGAGACTCAGATCGAGCTCTAGGTAATTTATTTTCGAACTGGCTGGTTCGACTTTTAAGAAATTTGAGTTATAATGAGTTTGAGAACTGAGGTACCACTGTATTTCCATTCAATCTTGGGCTACTTATTTTCGCAGGCAATGCATGTGATTCTTTTTCGCACACGGGGGTGAGGTTCACACATGGGGGTGGGGCAGATTGCAGCCTGACAGCTCTCCTGTTGACGATGGTAACAGGACTCTGTCCTCTTTTGTAGAGCAGCAAAGACAAACCATTTGTTCCTCATCTGTAACCCACCCTGCCCCTCCTCCCCCATGACCCTCACCTATAGCCAGTTTGTCTCGGTAAAGATTCCCCGTCTTGTTCCCACAGGTCACCGGAAGGTAGGTCTTGTCCATCGTTAAGTTCCAGACGCCACCCTCCAAATCCTCGCCAGAGGAGGAACCTGCGGATTCACGACACAAAAACACCAGCATAACCACATGATGGCATCATCTATGAATATAATGATGAACAATATTTTAATTAGAACATTAAATATAACAGCAAGCAAATTTTATAGCCGTTTCCTGTCATTAAGTTAGTTTCAATTTCAATTTATTTGTTATGTATGATACCACAGGGTCAACATTACAATGAAACACGTTGGACAAGAAGATAAGCAGGAAAACAAGCCTCCCAGCACTGGAGGATAAGAAGATAAAATAAAACTAAGAATTACAAATTAAAAAGTCATAAATAAGGGAATGTCTGTGTATGCGGAGGAGTGGGGTTGGGAAGGGGTAGTGCGAGCAGAGTATAATACTTACCAGATTCTACACTTTCAGGCCGTTCATGTGAGCTTGACTCCCTAGTTTTCTCTTCATCCTGCTGTCTTCTTCGTTTTTCAGGTGGAACGGCATCCCGCGCGCCCTCCGCATCCGCCTGTATACTGGACTCCCGGCACGCCTCAGGGCTGAGGTGCTGTCCCGCCTTCTCCGTCACCATCTGCTCCATTTTCTCCACAAGCTGAGCCACCTGTCTGGTCGCAGTCATATATCTGGCATTGAATTCATGGTCTCTCCCTCCACAGTCTTTGATTAACTGCTCCACAGCACTGTTCTTATGGGAAGAATTTGAGACAATGAGCACCATTGCATGATTCACTGCGGTGTCACCCCAATATTCAAGGATGCTCTTCACTCTGGTCAAATCCTTCCGCGTAAAGCTGTCAAGCTTCAGCACCACCAGAAGTACATGAGGTCCAGGAGAGGACAGGAAGAAGCAACTTTGTATCGCCTGAGTCAGTGCTGGGGGACTGAGCGTAATGAGGTCCGGACAGCTAATAACAGCAAGACGCCTGCCTGCAGCCGCGCCTCTGGCCCTCTCACAGTGCCGTGGTTCTGGGGAGCAAGTGGACCCAGTCTCGAAAGCCTCTCTGCCCAGGATGGCATTTCCCACCGAGTTTGTCTCCATCCCCAAGAGCACAATCCTCATCTCGGAAACAAAAGGGTGAAGCTTGTTGCTGCTCAGTTCCATTGTTCCCTTGATTCTGCAGTGTACAGGAGAGTGAGACGTTTGGTCTCTTTAGGGTACAGAGGTAATGTCTAACAGACTACAGTTGTCTTGCATGCATTCAATTATAGTCAATTTTGCACTATTATTACAGCACCTTGAGTTTTTTTTAATATACACCATAGGTTTACTGTTTAAATGTTTATATGGTTACTTCACAGCAGGACAATATGTACTGAACTTATTTTCTGAAAATACTTCTCATTCAGTTACCACAGTTACACATTCTTATATCCTATATTTTGCGTACTATTAATTTTATAATAGATTGATTGTTATTTTCAGTGCTGTGCAAAAGACTTACTCAGCCAAAGAAAATTATGCTTAAATGTTCATGTGTCACGTTTCGGCAGGAAGGTGAGCAGGGAAGCACGAGAGCAAGCCCTACTCACGGGTGATCAGGGTTTTAATAGGCAACAGACGAACACGCAGAGACATCCACGGACACTACAATGACTACAATAACTGAGACACGGACTAAATACAAAAGACTAGCCAGACATAACAGGACACAGGTGATCACAATCAGGGCTGAACACGAGGTAACGAGGTGGGCGTGGCACACATTAGGATCGGACGGAGCGGGGCGTGACATCATGTTGGTGTAAAAGTATGGTATTATGGCTGTCAAAGTGTGTCAGCTTAGCCATTTCAAAACCTCTGCTAATGTCACCCCAGTATTTGCAGCAACCATCCAATACACCCATGTATTTCTTGGCTTGGCCACTAGTGCACCTTGCATAGCTAATTAATATCTCATTGACTTTCTTAAGTAATTTAATTAATTAATTAAGTGAGCTGGCAATGAAACTTAATAAACACATGGGATGGCAGAAGGGCCCCTGAAGAGAGTTTATTTATAGAGAACTTTTAAACAACCGTAAACGATGAATAAATAATCCTCATCAAACTGATAATTATGTACAGGGATGGACATAACTGGTACACAAGTACGCATTTATCTTTAAAAATGATACGTACGACAATCGATTGTTTGTAAAAGCGCAAATGCGTGCTTATTTAATGTGCATTTGCGCTTCTACGACAAGAAAATACCTTGCATTTCAACCTGTATACCGCAAATAAAGTAGAGTTAGCATATAAAGATTAAATTGCATTATGTTTTGTTTTCATATAAGCGCAAATGCACATAAGTACGCATTTACAGTTACCACAATCGATTGTCGCACATATCGTTTTTGAAGTTGAATGCGTACTATAGTACCAGTTATGCGCTTTGTGGAGGCACATTTACATGTGTTTTGAGCACATTTACAGAAACTAACTAACTTCTATATTTTTAACGGGCAACCCATTTAGAAAGTGCATTAGCAGGATTTTTATTCTGAAAACCTGAAATCGGAAGCCTAGTAGTCTATTCGTGCCAGAACCTAGCTTGAGCATTCACAGCGTTACTCACGGTTTTTAAAATTATATATTTACTAAATTTGAATAATTTTCTTGCTGTGACAGGAAATAATAGTGTTAAAGTATATGATCTGATTAGTTCAAACGATGTTTCTGTTTAGTGGATCCATCCCATCCATTACCCTCCGCTTATCCGGCTACCTCCAGGCTACCTCTACCAGCTCTTCGGGGGGGATGCCGAGGCGTTCCCAGGCCAACCGAGAGATACAATCCCTCCAGCGAGTCCTGGGTCCTCCCCGGGGTCTCCTCCCTGTAGGACATGCAGGGAAAACCTCTCCGGGTAGCCGCCCAGGAGGCATCCGCGCCAGGTGTCCAAACCACCTCTATCTCTAAAGGGCCCATACACCCTGCGGAGTACTGTTTAGACTGAGGATATGAGCGAAATTCAGAACATTTATATCTGCTGCATACAGTATCCCTTTAAAAGAATAAGAATAAAATATATCTATATACACGATTCCACAAAACATCGTTGTTATGCTGAACTAATTTAAGATCCAGTAGCTTTTTCACTGTGACCTGAAATGAGCATGAACCTTCATTTCCTGGTCTATTTCGGCGGGCCTTTTGATTTTTTGCCGCACATGTAGCCTATGTGTTTTTTTATGTGACTTGTAATATATTACATATATTAGTTTTATCGTACACTAATTTCAGGTGACATTCGATTACCTTCGGTTCTTTATCCCTAATTTTGACAACGTTTCGCTTCTCAGCATAGTAAAACGAGACCATAATGAAAGAAAAAAAATCGACATGTAAGTACTGCTTACAAGAGTAGCCGGAGAGTAGTGATATTTTCGTTTTTTTACATGAATATGAATGAGAAAACTGTGCTACTTACGAAAATCTGGCTGATACCGAATAAGTTTACTGCACGGTGGAAAACAATACAGATGACTAACGGGACGTTTTTTTCATAACGCTTTCTGACTGATCTGAAAGTCACATGATTCGTGATATCCTCTGAGAAACATCCTGAGTTAAAAAGTAATACCGTTATGTAACACACAAAAAATACTTGTATTAGCCTACTAAATATAAAGTTCGATAAAAAGGTTACAGAATACTTATTTCTGACATGAAATTATAGTTTTATCGTTTTCTTCCTGAGCAAAAAAACTAGAAACATGGAACCATTTTCACTTATGCGCAGCAGGGGGCGCAATTTAGGATTGCATAAATACTTAATATTAAATATTCCTTTAGAGGAATTCTCGTTTGCAATAATACTTAAAATACTAAATAATTTTAAAAACTAACTTTGGTTCCTTCCCTGCTTTTAAAAGTCAAAAGTGACAGAACAACAACCAACAACACACAAATAATTAAAAAAAGAGAACTCTCACTGCGACTAAAAAGTTATGTATAGATGAGGGGTCACCAACATGGTGCCCGCGGGCACCAGGATGCCCCCAAGGACCACATGAGTCGCCCGCGGACCTATTCTAAAAATAGCACAACTCACCAGTGAGCAGCATCTAAAATTTAATTTTAACCTGTTGCTATTCTTCTTTAATCACATTTACATTTATATAGATCGGACGGCAGCGTGTGGCTCAGTGGGCTAAGCCGTGTGCCTGTAATCACAAGGTCACCGGTCAAGCCCAGCCTCAGCACGTCTGCGGGTCCTTGAGCAAAACCCTCAATCCCCAGCTCCCTGCAAGTTGAGGGAGGCGTAAAAACAATTTCCCCACGGGGATCAATAAAGTATCAATTATTAATTAATTATTAGATTTGAAAATGACAATATCTAAAACATTTAAAACATGTTTATTATACATGAAGTTTAGATAAGTTTAGGAGGGTGTTTCAAACTGGTAGCCCTTCGTATGGCTCAGTACCTGTGAAGTAGCTCTCAGTTTCAAAAAGGTTGATGACCCCTGGTATAGATGAATAGGAGGCACTAAAGAAGGCAAAGAGCTAAAAAAAAAACCCAGACAACAGACAGCTGGAAAACTTACACAAGATATTCCACCAGAAGGGATGTCTGAGGGTTTCCGTTTACTTTTTGTTATAGTAGTATCTGATTTACACGTCACTTATGTTTAAATAATGTGGGAGATGAGGTAGAATGTACAAGCTCACTAGGTCCTCAGTGGAACAGGAACCCGCACCCAGTTTAGACAGATGTTTCCAAAAATACTCCACAATCCTTTAGACCACTGCTCCACAGACACTCCTCTCCTCACAGTTACAACATGACAAAATTACTTTATTCTTCCATTTTATTTTTCATCTGAACATCACAAAGGCGAAAATAGAAGCATAATCTGTCAAGCCTTTTGTAAATATACAAAGAGCAAGGGGAGAACGGGTAAAAATAAACGGCAATATGGAACAATGACAGTACAAAACTAAGCATCTTTGACCTTTACATTATGATAACCATTAAAATTCTTCCAGCATTTACTTTTAAAGTTTATTTACAATATCCTATTTTCTTTGAGCAATAACAATATTTATATACCTTATTCATAAAATAAACCAAGCTGCAGAGATCGCAGGATCAGAGAAGATAGCAGAAAGTAGGAAAGTTCATTTAAAAATCCCTAATAGTAAAGCATATCAGCAGAAGCAATTAGCTTTAAAAGAAAGGAGGGATGTCACACAAATGAGATTTAGGATTTCTATTTTGAGGACACTTGAGGGAAAAATATGCACAAAAGACCTCAGACTCTCAAAATCATTCTTCCACAGCAATTCTTGCAGTACATTTTACTGGTCTATGAAAACCACTCCCAAAGAAATGTGACCTTGTCTTTAACCCAGGCAAAATGTTTCATGGCCTTTTTGTGTCACTCGTTAGCCCTGCATATACGGAGCTATAGTTATGTTAAGGACTACCCAAATATTCTCCGAAAGCTGTTAAATATATTGGCCCCTATAAGGGTGTGGCACTGGCACTCTAAAAGCTAACGATAAAGAGGATAACTATAGAAAAGGCAACGTACATTTCTTATTGTGGGATCAGAACAGCGCTTCATGTGTAAATTAGATTTTACTGTTGCCCCCTAGTGTTACAAGCCCAGCACTACACCATAGAGGCAGCGTGTATGTAGTCACCATGGGAAGAGCATGATCACTCTTCTTATGGTGACACAAACTCTCGCCGTCTGTCGATTATGCAACAGCATGCGTGTACTGCTTCACGACTGACACCCTGTACACCTGCAGTGCGCCGGAGCCAGGACCTGCTGCAGTAAATTTAATTTGCTTCAGAGCATAGGGCTGGGCGATATCATATCGCGCATGTGCAATCATCACCAGGGCTTCAGATGACAGGCGCAACATTTGGCCATGCGCCAGCTTTTCGGTGCTATACGGACATTTATTTACGCCTACAATTCAAGCAGTTTAGTAGTACGGCTAAGATATTAATGAGGCTTTGTATGACGTCCAAAAGTCATTATTAGTATAGTTGATATCGTGGCTTCTCTTCTACACCGCGACTTAAGTACATATTGCACTGTCGCATACCAAACCGTAGTATACCAAAACAGTATTATGTGGGGTGCTCCGCTAATCGAATTTAAGAAACAAAGTTTATACAGATTACTAACTTTTGGGTATCACAAAACGCATCTCATTAATATTTAAGCCACACTACTAATCCTCTTACCAAATTATGGGCATAAATTAATGTCCGTATAGCACCAAAAAGCTGGCATCCGGCCAAATGCTTCGTCTGTCATTTGATCAGGCTCGGTGATTATCGCGCAAGCGTGATATATCGATATGATACCGCCCAGCCCTACACAGCAACATATTACAATGTTTATCACTCTCTAACTACAGTTAGACATAAATATGTCCCCGTAAGGCTAATGATTAGAAAGTCTCTGTGTACCATTACAGCTAAAGCCTGTGAATCACCAATGCCTATGTACCTTACAGACGGGTTTCAAAACCCGGTCCACGTTTTTGCTCCCTCCTTGCTCCCTGTCAGACAGCCCACATTTTTGTTTGCGCCCAGCTCCATGGTTTTTCCGAAAACGTGGACCGGCCGGGGGTCCCCGAGGACCGGGTTGAGAAACACCGCCTTATGGCATCAGCGAAAGCCTGGGCCGTGAAGAATGTCCGGAAATGTCAGGAGTGTAATCCCGCCCTTTACCGGCCACCACTCAGGGCTGGACCCTCGCATCCTGTACTCCTCCATAGCCTTCGGTATCATAGCACCGCCGGCAGCCAATTCAGCCCTATTCCCCTTCCATGTAAGAGCTGCGTATGACGATTTGCATGCCACACACATCAGCCTCAGTCCCTCTATGGAATGGGGGTTGGGGGGGTCATGAGAAATTCTTCCTCTTTTTGGCAACAGTTTTATAAGCAGCGTTGCGGGTCTCGGACGACATAATTCCGAAATCAGAGGATTAGCTCTCGTTAAAGGTGTTTAGCACCTTTCAGTGCGTTCCCATCGGCAGTAACCTCTATGGCCTGTGTGCACTGGTCTGTCTGCTCGGTGTGTGTGTGTGTGTGTGTGTGCCTGCTTGTGTATATAGACCTCCATGTGCCAACGTTTCCGGTCAGCGGGTGTGTGGACCTCAATGTTCTGTGAATGTGAATCATATTTACCAATCTGTCCATCTTATTTACAGACCTGGGTGGGTAGCCCACCGATGCTTTAATGATGCTCAGTGATGGATGTTTAAACCGGTTTGGGGTACAAACACACCCCTACGGAACTGCATACTCAGCATGGCTGTACAGTTGCAGCATATAGGACAGCTTGTACCGTTGGCAGCGGTCTGGGTAATCGATGCGGATGTCTTGTGTCACACTGTGGGCCACTGACTACACAAACAGCACTCTGCTGTCATGCAGAACTCAGCGGGGAGTTTAAGTGCTTTGGACTGTATAGGTGTCTGAGGGAGTGGGAAAGTGCAATCCAGCTGAAGCCCCTCCCACATCTAAAGCGGGCATGTGTGTGTGTCTGTGTGCTGGTCTTATGTTCTGTTCCAAAAACAATAACGTGTGCCCGTTCATCATGGTCAAGTCTCTGTAGGGTAGATTAAATGCCTGTAACTCTGTGTGTGTAAAGTTGGCCACAGTGTGTATGGGGAGGGGGCCATGGCACTTCGCCCCTTGGGGAGCCACCGGATGAGAGCAGGGTCACCTGATAAAAGCCCCTCCCCTCCCCCTGGACCCCCCTCCATCCAGGCTGGGTGGGGGTCAGAACTCATCATCAGAGCTGAGCAGCAGTGTCTTCTCATTGTCGCGGGTGCTGGTGACACTGTGGCTGCGGGACACGGCCGGTCCCGAGCGCTGCTCCAGCGTGGACTGCTGCGTGTACTGCTGATAGGCCGGAGAGAAGTTATGGATGGCGTCTTGGACGATGTCGCCCGGGTTCATCGTCTCCTTCAGGCTGCTGGAGATGCTCTTCATTGGGGCACAGCGGCCTGGAAGAAGGCAGAGACCATGTGACAATTAAACAGCCAATCAAAACCAGGCAAAGACAAAAGGGGGTGGGGCTCCCCAGCACAAGCCAGGCGTTGTAAGATGATGAAAGTGGAAAACGAAACACGGTATCAAGTCACTTGAGGCAACACGATGAGGCAGCACGATACTATTATGAAAAAGTACAAGACAGAGATCAGAAAAATACGGAAGCTGGTGGAAAAAGTTGAAAATATGAAGAGAGCAACGAAGCTGAAGTTTCCCCCATGTCTCAGATGAGTGATTACAGAATTTGTGCAGCTGCGTCCTGCCGTGTAACACGTAATAAAAACAGACACCTAAACCATCCATTGGCACGTTCGGCTTCCAACGGCATATCCGGCCCCGCTAACTGCTACTTCAATTTCTTGGTTTTGATGACTGAGAGATTTATAACTCATTCACTAATAACGTTACATTTATTAAATTACACACTTTTGTCCAATGTGACATAAGCAGCGGTAGGTAGTTCAGATCCAGAAAGTAAAAATCCAGACCAATATTTTGTTCCAACCAACCAGTTGAGCATAAAGAGTCACAGTCACAGTTGTACTCAGCTGGTCGGTTGGTACAGAATCCTGGTCTAGATTTTTACTTTCTGGACCTGAATTATCCACCTCTGCATATACGCGTAAATGAGAAAATCTTAGGGTCAGCCAGCGTCCAGGACCTTAATCAAGGAAGAGACCTATGATACGATCACTCTTCCAGAGGATTCGAATCTGGAAATGGGCACTGATCCCATAATGCAAATGAATCACACACCAGCCAGAGAAGGTCGGGTGGCCAGTTGACCTTGAACCCCCAGAGATTTTTTTCCTCCCTATTTGGGAGTTTCTGGTTCCTCTCCTCTGTTGTCATCTGGCTTTCTTTTATTTCTTTGTCTTTCTCTTCTCCTGTTTTTGTATTGTTCTCTCTTTACATAGGTATGTTATGATATAACATCATAAAGCGCCCTGGGGGTGACTGTTGTGAAAGGCGCTATATAAAAATAAACTGAACTTAACTGAACCGAACTCAAAAGAACTGCAGCAGAGTGCCTTCCGGGATGCGACCCTATAATGTTCCGGCATTTCCCGAACCACCGAACGCCAGTTGCATTTACCATCACTGACTTAGCCGGCTAGCGACCGCACTTAAACTGCCAGTGAAGGACAAACAGAACGTAAAGAAAAAATAATGAAGGGATGGTGACTCTATGGAAAAGCTAGAGACTGCTGGGGACCTACCGTACTGTCCGTATGTGGGTATCGGCCCTTTAGGTGCGCAGCGTAAAGAGGGAGAGCGGGAGGGGGGGCGGGAGTGAGAGACAAGACAGTTTGTACAAAGGAATCCAGGAATTTGGAAGGAGGGAGGATTAACAGAAAGAATAATGGATTTCATTACATGTGATAAGCAGAGTAAAAGAGGACAGGATGTGTAAAAACGGGGGGGGGGGGGGGGGGGTGGCATACAGTAAAAAGAGGCAAAAAACAAAGAGGAATCCAGAAAATGGAAAGAGAAGGAAGAAAAGAGAAGAGAAGATTAGCGAGTTCAGTCGGTTCCTATGTCAGAAGCAGCAGAAACAAACACTTGAAAAAACAGCCCAGATTAGGAGTGGGCCAAAGCTCCGCCCGGCGTGACCCCCCCCAACCCCACCCTCACCTTGGGAGTCCAGCCTCTTGTCCATGTAGACCTTGTAGGTGAAGGCATGTCGCAGTGCCAGGGCAGCGAAGAACATCTCCACGCAGATGATGAAGTTCTGGTAGCCGGCCGCCACCGTGCCCTCGCCCACGGACATTTCCGACGAGGTGATCCGGGGGATGGTGCCACACTTCTCGAGGATGGCCAGCAGCAGGCCTGGGGGGGGGCGGGGGTACTGTGAATGCCTCTCCGCTTTAGACATTAAGCTCGTTCTTACCAAATGCAGGCAGGCAGGTTTCAGTGGTGTGTAGAAGTTATCATGGAGTGAGAATGGACTGTGCTACTGATTATATAAGAGGGGAGATTGTACCCTACAAACACCAGGATGGAATCCCGGAGAAGGTCACACTCACCCTGCCAGAAGGAGAGGAAGATGACGGACTTGACCATGAAGAACTTCAGCATGGGGCTGTAGGAGCTGAGCAGCTCACGCGTGGCGAAGTAGAAGAGGAAGAGGGCGTAGAGAGAGAGGCTGACGGAGATGTTGTACACGATGGTCACATACAGGTACCCACTGGCCACACTGGGGGGGGGGGGGGCAAGCACAGGGAAAGGTCAGCGCTGTACACCCAACCTGTAACCGCACCGCCGATCGCTTTGGCAGACGGGCACAAGGTCGTGCCCGCATCCAGCCTGACATTTTCACTGTCAATCGAAATCCACAACAGAGACCCCAGCACTTTCGAACCCGAGCTCCAACAGCAGCCCCTCCCCAGGCTCTAAGAAAATCCCAGCAACTACAGAAAGGTGTGACGTGTGTACAAAGGAACGTGTCGGTCAGCGATGGATTGGCAAAATAACAAAAAAAAATCAGGTCCAAACTCTTGATTTACAATGGCTTGCATTATTATTATAATTATTATTATTATTATTAATATCTTACTCTGTGGGTGTAAGACAAAAGATTAGCTACTAGGCCCTCATCATTGTGTGACTGACAGGAAGGCGGAACAGAGCCATCTGACTCCTGTTGGGGGGAAGGGGGGGTTGGGGGGGCATACTTGAAGTCTCCGTCTCGATATTTCCCAAAGGCCTGCAGGATGACCGTCACCATGGCCATCAGGGGCTTCACCACGCAGAACTGCAGGGTAGCCTGAAAGACAGGAGGTCGATCCGAGTGATGTCATACGCAGGCAAGGCAGGGGAGGAGGAGACACTGGGGCACGTGACCCCGGAGAAGCCCTGGGGATGCCCTGGACCCACCTGCTTACAGAACCTCAGGAAGCCGATGGAGTAGGTCTTCCCCCAGAGGCAGCATGTGCCGTACATGCAGCTGGACCTTAAGAACACAGCCAGAGGAGATGTTAAACCAGCGCCACCTAGAGGAGGGGCTGACCTATGGCAGGTGTGCATGGGCATGCAGACACAACAGTGAACAGAGCACACTCACTCAATGGGCTTCCCCCGGATCTCTGCCATGATGGCACTCTCCCCTCCCAGGTACTCGTAGCACAAGCTGAGGAAGTTGTAGATGACGAACGCTGTGGGCGGAGAGACACGGGCATTACTGTCATGTCCACGCGAAGCCGTCTGTGTCCCGAGTCACAGAAGCACATTTCAGCAGTGATCTGCTGTACGATTCTTCTCAGACAGTTACATCGACGACCACAAGTGTGCGACCGACTGCGACAGAGAATCTCAGAAACCCCATCCAAGGCCTAGTGTGCCGCTTCGGGACGGGACACGATGGACGTGTCACAGCACAGCTCAGCCCCACCCTTAGGGCATGCTGCCTTCCATTTGAACTCAGAAGTCGGAATTTCCCAGTTCCTCGGTGGAAAATTTTTAACTGGAACACCCAATGAAGTCGAAATTCCGACTGGAAACTCAAAGGAATCTCTGCAATCCCAACCTCGGAATTCAAGATGGCTGCTCTCTTCTTCAACGGAAGTGAACGCTGTAGTTAAACACTGATTATTAGCACTTTTATTTTATTTGTGGCTCAGTAAATGGCCGTACACACTGTACTGTCCAATCGTTATCTGTGGACATGTTCCTACGGTGTTCTTGTGTGCATGATGTGTTGTTATCAACTGGTATTGCTAATAATGGCTAACAATGAGCCTGGCCAGGATGACCTCACACCTGAGTGAACCGCGTTCCTATACACCTGGTTGGAAAGCCATTTAGCTTAGTTGGTTCAGTTATCCGGCTAAGCAAGAAATCCTGCTTTTTGAAACAGGTCCCTGGTATTGCTAAACGGCTTTCCGACTTGGTGTACTCTCGGAGAGCAGATAACTCGGGTGAGTCGTCATTCCCAGCTCTGACTTCCGACCTCCGTGATAAACGGAACACAACAGTGTTCCCAAGCTCTCCTGCTTGGGAACCAAAAGTTCCTCGTCACTCTGCCTGCCTGCCAGCTCACTGAGGCCGAGGATACAAACCCCCATCTGCACAGCAATATCCTGGACTGCCCTTTGCCTGTGTGTGTGTGTGTGTGGGGGGGGTGCTCTATATTTAGTCACAGAGCCCTGGGGGTTCAGCTGCTGCGTATCTGAACTCCCATGTGGCATGTGGTGGGGCGGCTGCATCGAGTGCTGAACAGCTGAAGGAGCACAGCCTGTCACACTCGCCCCCCCCGTCCTGGCTAGTTGGGGCTGGCCGCACCTTGCGCCCAGTCCCACCCTCCCTGTCCCACCTCAGCACTCACCCCCCCCCTCCGATATGGTGTCGCATTTTTCCTGCCACTGTCAAAAGCAGAGGGCGCCGCAGCAACTTATTTTATGCACGGGAGCACGGAACGGCGGGACAGCAGCGAATCCTGCGTGAGGAGTATCTGAGTACGGACAACACGGCCAAGAGATAAACATAAGCTTTAACGTTAAATAAATGCTGCATCAATGTCAAACAAATGTAATACTGCAGTAACTTTTCTCTGTACTGATATTGCACTTTGCAGCTTTCATTCAGCTCCCACTGGATAGATAAATGCAAATGCAGATGTCGTTTAAAGAGTTAATAATTTAACGCTCCAAGCCATCATGACCACAAGATCAAGCTGACATTGAGAGTCGTTGAGCTCATCTAGGTGTACATGTATGTGTGTGTGTTTTTTAAACCATCAGCTGAGGTTGCTAGGTGACAGGATTCCCTCCCCAGCCAACCCAGCAGGAACAAAGATGGCCGCCACAAAAGAGAGGCCGGCTCAGGGAGAGCCATCTGTCAGCGGCCTTTTAGCAGGTTCCCACACTCGCGCTCGGCCGCTCGCAGCGGGGACTGACACGCCGCCCCCGGGGGCCTCGCATTCATCTGACAGGCCCTGACGGAGCGAGGCCGTCCATCTTTCCACAGCCCCGCCCATTAAGCACTTTTAATTCATCTGCTGGCCTGCTTGACTTTTAAGTGCGACTCTTGTGCCCTGCCGGACAGGAGCAGGGGTGTAACACCGGGGGCTGATGTTCAGCAGGCCGCGTAAAAGCAACAGGTCACCCCCGTCACCTCGTTACCGGCCGGTCGGCAGACATTGTTCTGATGCTTCTTACGGGCCTAATGTCCAGTCAAAATCTTTCAAAGGAGCAACAGAAAGAATAAAAAAAAAGTCAAAATGAGGTCAAAGAATTTCGAAGCCACTTTCTCACTTGCAGTGTCGGTAATTTTGTAGGGGAATACAGCCATTATGGAAAAGAGAGGGATCAACAGAACATATGCCTGGCCCCCCCGATGGAGGGCCACAAACACAGCGCCGCCTGCTGGCCGCGACCTCACCTTCGTAGCAGTCCCTGACGGTGTCGAAGTAGACATAGTACTCCTCGTTGGTGAAGAAGAGCAGGCTGAGCCACGAGTCGAAGGCGTAGATGGGCACGATGAAGAGGATGCGCACGATGTGCCTCTGCTCGTTGGGGGCGCTGTAGTAACGCAGGTGCATGTAGATCTGTGGGGGGAGGGGGAGGGTGAGGGGGTCAATACAGAGCCCTCCTCTGGTACCAGTCCAACCATAAAAATCAACGCACGGGATAATCAGCCTCTTCTTAAACTTATGACATCATGATAATGTGTTAATAATCAGCCTCCTCTTAAACCTATGACATCATGATGGCTTAATAATCAGCCTCCTCTTAAACCTATGACATCATGATAAGGTGTTAATAATCAGCCTCCTCTTAAACCTATGACATCATGATATGGTGTTAATAATCAGCCTCCTCTTAAACCTATGATATCATGACAAAGCTTTGACAGAGTACATGCCCATTACGGCCAGAAACAGTATCCCCCAGCCATCGGGACGGTAAGTGACACTGCTGCAAACAGGAGGTCTTTATCTTTAGTCTGACTCACTTCCGACCAGCAAACAGAAGCTTTAATAAGAGGCCGGGAGCAGGCGAACACAGCGAGGCAGACTGAGTGGAAGTGTCACTGCGCAGAAAGCATGTGACCACACCCCCCTCCCCGCAGGGATAACGCATCTTTAACAAAAGCGTGTCGTTAGCTGGCATCTGTGCAGAGTGAGCTTCCGTGTCCTGACAGCTGCCCCCCCCCCCCACAGCCTAAAGGTGGCTCTGCACTATTCAAACCAAAGTGCCTTTTGCCAAAGGGGTCTTACGTTAACCGCCAGCCTTCCAAAGCATACAAAAGGCCGCCCACCTTCTCTCAATCGCGTGTTTACCTGCCGTGAAAACACAAAACTCATATGTAGCGAAGCCTGTGGACTGTTGCTAGGCAACACCTGGGCTCTGATGTCACTGAGCAGAAGAGCAGGTGCACCTGTTGTCAGAGCGACGGTGCATCTTCTTTTAAAAAAAAAAAAAAAAAAAAAACTATAAGGTGGGGAGTGGGGGGATGACCTGCCTTCCCCTGCTGTTAATCTAAAAACCTTATTAACAAAAGCGAACAGACCACCAGCACCAGAGAGAGAGAAAGAGAGAGAATGAGAGAGAGATACAGAGTCAGAGAGAGAGGAGAGTCAACACGATAATCCAAAGGCTACTGCTGATTCATAATTCTGTAAACAATGATTCGCCATTCGCAGAAACACCAACAGTAAAAACGCCTTTTCCAACCAAGTATCCACAGCCAAGTACTCAGGTACTCAGTAAGATTTAACAGGCAGTGTAGCAGCAATCACAGCCACGCCCAGAGCCTGTCGGCCCCGCCCACACGGCCGTACCTGGTGGCAGGTGAGCAGCAGGGCGGTCCACACGCAAAAGCCCGACACAGCCTGGGCCGCCGTGGTCATCAGGAAGATGGGCTGCTCTGGGCTTAACAGTGGTGCCTCTGGCAGCCAGGAGATATTAGGCCCGGCGGGGGCGGCGGTGGCCGGGGGTCCCGGCGCCATGCCGACGGGCGAGTCGTCCCCAAGGCGCTCGGAGAGGGGTACATCACGTCTCCACAACCTGTTCATCTGATGGAAGAGAAGATAACCCAACTGAACCCGTATCTACCATACTAATCTCATCCCTTTACAGTTATCATGTAGAACGTGACAGATCCATGGCGTTGCGCTCTTCAACATAAAAGACACAGTGAAGTCCTCTAAAACACTGTCTCTGTAAGAAAACACCACGCTAAATAAAATGATCCACTGACAGACTCTGGACCATCTCCCCCGAGGCCAGCATTATACGCAGGAAAAATATCTGACCCCCACCCCAAAGCCACATGACACTGATCGCTTCCGCTCCTCTCGACGATCCAGCAAAGCACGGCATCCCACAGCGTCTGTCCCGGTGTCACATCCGGATACTCCAGCCCCGTCTCTGATAAAGCCTGGCAGACAGTGGAAGTGTGCTGGCCTCGGTGTCATAATCGGCCATGTGACAGCACACACTTCCGGTGACACTCCACCCGCTCTTATCGTGAATTATAAACAGGCTCGGAGGCACCGGACTAAGTTTCCAACACTTGAGTCCAGCCAACGACGGTTCTCTCACGGCTGACCGGTAACCTGTGTCTGACCCAAGATGGCTTCCCCAGAACCCAAAGAATAAATATCATCTTTGACATACAAATCAAACGCTTGTAACAAATAAATCTATACGTGTCAAAACAAAGACGATGGTCAGCTCTGGAAAACCATTCTGTGACCGTAACTGTGGGACCATCAGTTTAATTGCGCTCAGGGATCTTGCTTTGACTGTAGCCAGTACCACAGCAGTCCAGTTGCTGATTTACTACATAGGTGAACGCAAAGGTAAGATCAGCCAAGACCTGAGGGGGAAAACATACCATAAAGAAGGTGGCCATTACACACAATAACCTGTTTTACAGATTTCGATTTTTCCCTGTTCCAGGAGAGATTCTGATTAGATTAAATAAGAGACACAAATCCATAAAAATCCCCAGCCAGTGGGAACTGAGAAACAACAGTTCCTGGGCAACAGACCTCTTAAAAATATCTAAGAGAAAGGCCCCCCAAGCAATCTTCACAGGAGCCTGGAGCCCGGTATCCCGCAATGTCAGTGATTAGTCCGGTAAACCGCAGAGACGATCCGCATCGGCTCATGGGAAGGACAACGGCGGCGGGGCGAGAAAATTAGCGTGTGTCGTGAAAAAGAAAGTGTGAGACCGACAGGAGGGACTGGGACACAGCCAGAAACGCATTCGTGTGAACATCGCAACGTGTACTCCTACACAGATATGTGTATACTGTATATAAATTATCTCCATTTTAACTATCAAATATATCAAACCACGACATAATTAAAATGTCCTTATAAAAGTTGCCAAACGCCTTCTGAGAAATCTAAAGGGCCTGAACGACTTTCCCTGAAAGTTGCTGCCTTTCGACCTTAATCCCATTTCTCCGCCAGCACAAGACGCTCGACAACACCAATGTAGCTGCACTTCCAGTAATCAACACCATTTTATCTGGAAAATAAAAAAGTAGTGCATGACACTGTACAGGTAGCCTAATGCGTAAATACTAAATTTCATCGTATATGGGACATTATTAATATACTACGCTAATCAGCAGAGATACACAGAAGTTACATATGTGTGTAAAACTTCAGCACCCACAACATCGCAAATTATACTTAATATTACTATATATCTTTCTATCTTAATGTTTCATATTAAAATTGCCGGATAATGACCGCTTTATGTGCAGCAACATATCTACAGCAATCGCTGGAAAATAAATACAATGTGACTAACATAAAACGTTTTACCTAGGTTATGCGGTTAATCGGAGATGCACACATATTACAAACTGGGGTTTATTCTGCGGATGCACGGAACAGACAATGCAAAGCTCCGCCTGCGCGATACACAGAGAGCTTTCAGCCTTTTTCCCTAAATAAAATAATTACAGTGGCTCAAACGTTAACACTGGACATTTCTATGCATGAATAAATCACTCCACGATGCACTTTGAGCGGCACGGCCACGCAGGTTAATAATGTGGCATCAGGCTCCCTCCCCTCCTATAATCCTCACCGACACCCCGTCTTACCTCATCTGCAGTGGCCCCAAAACTTCCAAAGGCTGGGTCTGCTTGGATCTGATCATTCAACACCCCCGGCGACTTAAAAGACAGAGAACACGGCGACAGTTACTCGCAGCACCAAATTGCATCACAAAAATTAAGATGCAATAACGGCGGGTCTTTTCGGTAGTAGCGCTCGTTATTTCAATCCGTCACGTTAAAATGAAAACGGCTAACTACCACTCCCAGCTTTAAAAACGTTAAGATCAAAGATGTTCGCTTCATACAGGAGAGGGAAGGGCGATGCGATCTGTCCTAAATTCACAAAGAAATCGCTCTCCGGCCATCCATGTTTACCCACCAACGCTGCGCGCAGCAGAAGCCAACAAGCCAGCCAACCAAACCAAAGCACTTTACTGAGAGCCACCTACCTAACAATACATAATAAAACCTCTGATTTTTTTACTTTCCAAAAATGTATTTTAAAGACGCTTAAAAATCGCACAAAAATAAAAACAGTAAGCGGTGCAGGGACAGAGCTGATCCTTTGCTCGCCTCTTCACCTCCGTCCCTGACTCAATCCATCGGGATTACGGTGTAGCGGCGTCAAGGCTCAAACCAGGCGTCTGCCACGCATGCGCGTCATTCCGCGCACCCGCTCCAGCGGGGGGATGACGTAACCTGCTCGAGAACGCGCACATAATCGCTACATTTCTGTTTTGTAAACTAACCAACCCATATATCCTGCCTGCGTTTTACTAAAAATATGCGTTTAACATATATCACTTTATTTGCTTACAAACAACAGCTGCTTTCTTAAGATAACAGAAACAATGAACCTAATAAAATCCTGTTCTATGTACTTTTTAAAATTGCATTTACGCTTTTGTAACATGCAGCTATTCTATACACGTTAACAAATCTGGCTCAAACTGTCAATTTCTGCTGGTTGTTATAAAATTAAAAACATTTTAAGCACATGCATTTCATGTATTTTTTTTGCCTAGGCTGAGCTTCAGCATAAAATAAATCCAGACAAGTTTTTCTTTCACTGTTTATTATTACTTCATAAAATATACACAAATACTGTTGTAAATAAAATGTTAAAGAACTGTACAAGATATCAGTACACAATACACAAAGTGAGCCCCTAACTCCCACAATCCTATGCGGCTACACCACTTTCCATGTCGGACTTATGCTACCACTGGGTATCTTTAGAACACAAGCTTGCCCGGATCACTGAGCTCTTACAAGAATCAGTGACATCACCCAACGCTAACCATGTAGCATTACCTCAGGGCCCAAAAAATGACATCACAGTTGTATCAACACCCCTGTTTGGGAAGGAGGAAAAAAAAAACAAAAAGTTCAGGTAATTCAGTTTTAATTTCTGGTAAATAATTTATAATTGCTGGCAACCTCTGAGTAGAACAGTAGCATCATGTAGAGAAAGTGTTAAACACCCATGGTCTCTGGGAACAGCGTATAACAAAAATGGAGTCACTGAGTAACGGAACACAGAACCCAACAGATGACTAGGTAAGAACATGAAAGTGGGCCACAGAAAGCAGGGAGCAGCTGACCAATCAGCGAGCCCGAAGCAGGGAACCTTCCACCTCAGAAGGTAGTACTGTGTTTAACACAGATGAGGAAGAGTAAAACCACAGAGCTACAGGCCAGTGGCCACAAAACTGCAGCTAAAACCGTCTCATGATTCTGTACCCTGAACTCAGCACCATAACCCATTTCACACACTGGTTCTGTTCTACATCAGACCTTAAAACAATTACAATTTGGTTTTACACAAAAAAAAAATGAGGTGATATAAAACCACACCTTTTCTGTAAAAACCACATGAAGGAACCACCCCAAACTTTAAGCTCAATCTCAAGTCCTGGACTGAAAATAAAATCATGATAAAAGAACAATCATGATAAAAAATTCCACCAAAAGCCAGCTGGCAGGTCTCTGGACAGGACCATACAGAAGCTTTACTTAAATTTCAGGTGTAGGTGTAAATTGCTCTTGCAAAGAGCCATACCTTTAAAATAAACTTACATGGTTACAAAGAAGCACATCCATTCTTTGTCTCTATTTTGTATCCAAATGGAGCTGTGACATCTGATTCAGTTGTAGATTTAGGCAGAAAACCAGCGAACAGAGGAGCTGAAAATTAGAGAGGTGCAGTCTGGGAGGCAAAGATCTCGCAGGGGTCCCAACACACCCACCTTTGTGGGACAGGAATGCTAGTTTTCACAGGACTTCCACACATCCTCTTTCACCTTATGCTGTATTCAATACTTTCTATTTTTTAGCAAATAAAAAAATTACAAAAATTTAAAAACGAAACTGAAGTCTTCACACATCCCCAGAACAATAAAAATAAAACCAGTGTTAAGCTTGATAAAATCCATACCTGTATGATTATAAACACAGAACAAAGTTGTGACATCAACCTTTTTGTATCAACTAAAATGAACAGGTGAAGTGTAAACATCCATGAACGTGTTTGTGAAAAGGCCCTTCAAGGGCCCATGTGTCACTGAAACACTGTGAAACACCACGGTTCCATTAACAGATGAGTGAACCCAAAACTGGAAAACCAATTAAGAAAAAATAAACCTTACAATTTTTACAAAAGACTGTATTGGCATGCAGTAACAGTTACATTCTGTGTAGGAGAGATCGGTCCTTCCCAGGAGGCTCCACCCCCTTGTGGCACTCCCACCAACTGCCAGAAGAGGGACTATTGAGTCCCAGTGAGCAGCAAAGGGGCGGGTCTATAGAGTGACAGATGTTGGATTACTCTGCCTCGAAGCTTGGCTTTAGGGAATCGCCATCAGACTGAAAGGGTTGCCCTGCGTTGACCTTCATCCTTGGTTTTCCGTCCTAATTCTTCCATTGATCCTTGATCCATTTTCTTTGTTACGCTGTCTTTTAAATTAAAATAAAGTGGAACTGGGGAGGTCCTGAAAACGACAGAAAAACAAAGGGAAACAATTTTTAAAAGTTTCCCTAGCATCAGAAGACTCCATAGATAGTGGTATTCGGAATAACCAATTTTCATGCATCTGGTTCAAGCTTAAAACTTCACAACTATCAAACAGTCAACATGAACTGATATCAAAAATCTTTTGAGGAAGGGAGGGAAAAAAAAGTCTTTGTTTTATGCAGCTGGCGGCGGTACGCTGGCGGGTACCCCCTACCTGTCCGTATCCAGGGGATGGAAGATTCCGGCACGTCACTTTCCTAGGTGCTCAAACGGCATGCTGACCTGAACACACATCATCAGAAGCCATTTGACCAGGAATTCCCAAACCAAACGTGAGTCACATCAAGTAAGAGCTGCGTACCTGCGACGCGGAGATGCGAGACTGATCGTGGCGGGCGGTGAGATCCGAGGATGAGACGTTGACGGGGGCACCCCTGTGCAACCTCATGCTCACCTTCCTCTCCCTCTCCACGCGGGAGATGGCCCGCGGAGACGTGTTCCCTGGGGGAGGGGCGTGGGACACGTCAGTTACACTCCGGCATCAGCACAGCGGGGTGAGGAAACCGCTTGCATAGGGCTGGCATGTGCCCAGGCTGAGCTGAGAAAATATGCAAACATCATAATGGACCGCCCCCGGCGAACATCAACGCAAGTCAAGATCTTCTCATAACCTGCAAACACATTTGGAAAAGGCTGAGAAACGAGCTAAAGAACCTGTTGTGTTATAGTTTCTGCCGTATTTTAGTAGTTATCCAGGGTATATAAGAGGACAAACCCTCTTTAAGCTCAATACAGTAGGGATTAAAGAATAACGACCCTAGAGGTTCTGGTATAGACTCTCTTATGATTGGCTGTCTCACCGGATGGCTGTACACGAGAGGCTGGTGTTGAGACTGCTGGCTCTGGGCCATTCCTGACCCGGTTTGGCGCTGGGGGGTTTGGACCTGGAGGTAGGGCCCTGGCAGCTGAGCCCCGGGCCCCCCCCGCGATCCGCTCGTCCCTCTCCTCCGCTCCTCTCCGCTCCCTCTCGCCGTCCTCGGCCGTCCTGCTAGCACCCTGAGAGAAGAGAGCGGAGAGAAACCAGACACAGGACAATCAAAAAGAAAACACCAGCACCATACTTACAGTCCCACATAAAGACAAGACTTACAAATTTGAGCATGTTCCAGTCAAAGACATAGTCATAGGAGAAGCCCTGTCTGTGGAAGAGGTTCCTGAAGAGCTGCCGTAGGTAGGAGTAATCGGGCTTGTCGTCAAACCGCAACGAGCGGCAGAAGTTAAGGTAGGTGGAGAATTCCGCTGAACAGAGTAGATGGGGAAGAATTTAAGACCAAAGAACCACGTATCAGAGCATAACTTATGAAGCATCGGGTTACGTGACACATTCACTGCCCACACTGCAGAAGAAAACGAAAGCAGAGGTGGAAAGTTCAGATTCACAAAAGTACAAATCATGACCAACCAGTTGAATACTCTGTAACTCTTTATACTCAACTGATCGGTTGAAACAAAATCTTGGTCTGGATTTGTACTTTCTGGACCTGAACTTTTCACCTCTGAACAGAAGCCAAGTGATCAAGCATACTCACAGGGGTAGCCCTTGCAGAGCACCTCGATGGGGGTGGACATCTTCTTCTCGCTGATGCGCTCGTACTTCTGCCTCTTGGTGGCGGCCTTGAGGCCCTGCCAGGGCAGCGAGCCCAAGTTAAAGTACATCAGCACATAGCCCAGGGACTCCAGATCGTCACGCCGGGACTGTTCTGGGAGGGGGAGAAGACAAGGACCTGTAATTTTAGGCTGCTCACTCATAGCCCACCAGCTGCACCTTCACAGAAGCAAAGAGCACGTGACTCTGGGTCTTTATGAGAAGGTGAAGGGAGAGACTCTCCCTCAGGATGAGGTGAGCTGCCTGCAAACTCACTGCCAGATGCAGCTTCACACCTCCCAAAAGCGGTAATCGGCAGGCAGGATGGTGCCATCTGCATGGCCGCCGACAAGCAGCCTCTTACCGATGCCCAGGTGCGTGTTGATGGAGGCGTAGCGCGCCGTGCCCGTCAGGTTCTTGTTCTCGCGGTAGGGGATGTGCTGGTGGGTGCGAGCGTCGCGGTACTTCTTGGCCAGGCCGAAGTCGATGATGTAGACCAGGTTGCCCTTCTTCCCCAGGCCCATGAGGAAGTTATCCGGCTTCACGTCACGGTGGATGAAGTTCTTGGAGTGGATGTACTCGATGCGGCTGATCTGTGCAGGGCAAAGTGTTGGGGGACGGGACGGTAGACCAAGGGCAATAGGTTTGAGGAGGGTAGACATGCGATCCAAACATGTGACATCATCGCTAAACACTAGCATATTCAAAAGCACAAAAGATCTACACACAAAACAAGTTAATGTAAAAAAAAATGTCACCAGAATCACTTTTGCTAAACAAATAAAAACCAGTAAAACAGTAGGGTGTCCTAAAACTTTTAAGGATCCTTTGAAAACAATCCTAATTTTAGCAAAATAGCCTTCCCCAACATAGACTGTCTGGGAGGGATTCCTCACAAAGTAACAAGAGCCAGCAGGTCGTGCTACAGAGAGACGGCGGCCGCACCATCTGGTCAGCCAGCAGCAGCACGGTCTTCAGGCTGAACTTGCGGGAGCAGAAGTTGAACAGGTCCTCCAGGCTGGGCCCGAGGAGCTCCATGACCATCACGTTGTAGTCCCCCTCGGCACCGCACCATTTTATGGAGGGGATTCCCACTATGACAAAAAAACACAGCCATTCACACTCACTGTCCAATGGCATGCCATGATTGGTGGGGCCCTCCCCACTACAAATATCTGCGTACGATTGGGAGAATACACAGGAGCTGCCCAATCACAGAATTCCCTTCCCTCCCTTGTACCTGGAGATGGGGACCATAGCAGGAGTGCACCCTTTCTGAGCTCACCTCCTCCCTGCATCATCTTGTAGAACTTGCTCTCGATGTGCAGCTGTGGATGTTTGGTCTTCACACACTCCAGCTTGATGGCCACTTCCTCCCCCGTGGCGATGTTGGCACCTGGGCAGCACACAGACACACGGGCCGTCATGGCCGCCTTGCAGACGACTCACGCACAGCCATGTGACCGGGCTGAAGCCAAGAATGAAGAAGCATGGAAGGATAGGACAGAAAGCGACTTACCCAGGTAAATATCCCCAAATGAGCCGCTCCCTATTTTTCGTCCAAGGCGGTATTTGTTTCCCACCCTCAACTCCATGGTGCAGGCCAGACAGCTGCCTGGAAAGAGGAAACATAACAGAGTCAGGAAACCTCAGGCCAACCCGTATGCTGATGGCAGCGATCCACTGGGACACAGAGGCCCCGATTCAAAATCGGCGTCGCTCCGAAGGGCTCCAACCTACAGAGATCACGTGCCGGCGGTTGCCAGGAGACGGGAAAAAACAACAGGGCAATCGTGGTGGGATGGAGGGGAAAACAGGAAAGGAGGACGGCTGGTAGAAAACCGAAGGCGATGTGTGTTGGATGATGAATGACAAAGGGAGCAGCGATGAGGAGAAAAGGAGAAACGGCTGTTTGATGAAAAGACAAATAATCATTATTGTGTCACAATGCCGAGGCAAGCCTGTTGGGTAATACTGTGAATCAGCAGGTCGCGATACACCTAACAAAGCTGAAATCACAGCGACCCGCAATGATAAAGAACTCGCACGAAGATGGACAATATGGCCGCCTGGGCGGGGAACCCTGGATCACCAATGTCAGAAGAGAGCACATCACCTAGCACACCGGGGGGCAGAGAAGCACGTGAGCTTGGAGCATAACCACATGACCGACAGGTCCCACCATTCCGTGTTTAGTATTAAGAAACATGCCGTTTCAGGGCATTAAACAGCTATATTATTATTCAGCCACAAAGCATTTGCCCGCCATGTGTGACATTTCATATGGGGTAGGAGATCACGATCACAGAAAAACAGGATGTACTTTTGCATTTTGATAACACGGAAATCATTTGTTTGAGTGGTGAAAATACATCCAGAAGCACTGCTGAAGTCAATATTGAGGTTTAGGTTTGCTTGGACAATCACACGAAACCCATCCTTCAACAACAGACACATCATTATTGCAAAATAAGGCTACGGAAAACAAGGCAAAGAAACGGTGCCAATCAGAGCAAACGAGCAGCCAAATCTGGGACTCTGTAACTCCGATTCCCGCCATGTCAGAACTCCAGGAGCATATTCCTGCAGGCATGGAGACTCTGCCCTGTCCACGCAAAGCACCGCAGAAGAGTCAAGCGACAGCGATGTAAAATCGAAGACACATGGTGTACATCATGATTTACTGTGTGCTAACTTCTGCTAACAAGTCTGTGGGAATCGCCGTCTTACATTAGCATTAAATGTTAGCGGAATTAGCATTCGTTTGTGTAAATTTGCATTATGAATCCATTCCGTTCAGCTGTTCTATAGTACATTTTTAAGTAGGAGGTTGGAAATCTTCAAGTTCTGAGTCATCGGTAATGCATCGGTACATTGCGTTGTGTGATACTACTAATAATGAATAATTTATAGAATATGCCTATTTTTCCTTCAAGCAATCCATACATATCTACGCAAATCACCAGTATCTCTGTGCATTTCGACCAATCGGATGGTGCTGACACATCCAGCTGGATTTGGTCATGCTTTTGGCCCTGCTAGTAAGAACAGCGCGGGAATGGCTCGGGTATGACCCAAATCAGCCAGCTCTACAGTGTGCTGCCTCACCACCACAAAAACAGAATCATTACGATGGATCAAAATCAACTTAACTTCACTCACATATCGGCCTGCTTCATCTCATTTTAGAAAATGCATTCCTTTTTTGCACATTGTCCATTTGACCATAATGCTGCAGTTGTTGCCCTGATACTGTTATTATAGTCATTACCATGAAATTCAGTTCCTCCTTCTACTTCAATGACAGGTGAAAAAAGCCTGATGGAGCAGGCGTCTTCTCAGCAAGAGAAGAACGTGAGTTCTTAAGTTGTCCAGTTTTCTTGAACACTTTAAAGTGAGAAAACTTTGAAATCTCCATCTTGATGATGAATGAGAGATCAAAATTGAATCATAAGCTCAGGATAGTGACAGAGGTGCTTCAGTTGGAGGTGGCTATCCAGAAATAATCCAACTCTGGCCTGGATGCATTCTTCAATGAGGATGCCCAAATAGGCAACCAGATCCTCCATGTTCCTCTGTGAAATTATTGCACAATCTCACAAGTCAACTCTCATACACAACTTTCAGGTGGAGTGGATTCTTTACCCTGTCCTCAACCAACAGAGGCAACACTCTCAACAGGCACCAATTCTAGACACCATGAGTACATCTCACTACCTGGCTTACAGTCAGGACGGGTCACTGGCTTCACTGCCAAGACAGATAAACTTGCTTAAGCTTCTGTTCAGGTCTGCATAACTGAAACGTTTCTCCATATTAAACAAGTCGTTGATGCAGAGCACTAAATAAGGAGAAGTGATTCCCATAAAAAGATCAATGTCCGAGACAGGGTGGGAGACCAGGCTGGCAAACCTGAAAGTAACAGCTGCTTGAAATTCTATCCCACCCACTGAAGCTGCGTTACCTGCTCCCAGGCGTGGGATATACTGCTGATAGGACTCTTTTGTTCTTATTCAACTTGTTGACAACAGACTACCATCAAATATTTGCCTGTCAATGTCACATAATCTAAAAAAAAAGGTGCTCTTGCTGAAATGTCCCACAAAGCCACCAATGACATGAGACCTAATACAATCTCCATTTATATCATACAGTCCACCTCTCATACGTTATGCATCCTTAAAAACAAGACTAACACGCTCCCAATCTTTCTGGTCTTTTATCAGAGGGGTAAGAACTTTTTCCGGCCAAAATGTTTACAGTCTTGATCCCTACAAAGAACAAACTGCATATGATCAATGTTTGACCTACTATACAACAAAATACCACCAAGAGTCAAAGACATTGCTCACGGCTTTTGTTTTTTCCATGCAGACCCTAAAGGACTGACAGCCTCAAATGCATCTTCATGGAACATCAACACTAATGCTGATGCATCAATTTTAAATAAGGCATTATCAGCCATATTTTGTTCATCCCATATATCCTCATACACAACCCGAGTAGAGACACGGATGCATTTTATCATACTGTTTCTTGAAAGCGCCCAAAGGCTGCATTTTTTAAAAATTGCGTAGGACACTCTAGTGCACCACAGATGAATGGGCAGTTTGGGGCATTGTTATGTGTAATTTCATATGCGTAATAAAGCTGAAAATGGTATTAAGGTCATGGCTACACAATCTGCAGTGTACCAAAAGGACAGGGGTTTTATGGTTCTGTGCATAAAGTCGCTTCACTTAATTGAGGAAAATCATAGAGATAAAACTGAAAAACTACTCTTTTCTCCTGAGAATGCTCACTAAAAAAGTCAATGTATAGTAATGTTGAGTGCGGGTCGTACAAAGTATTGAGACTACTCATTACGGTAAAAACGAACTTCATCTGAACCATCTGCAAATTGTCTCGACTTAAATGCAAGTTGAAGTTGTATAACACCACACACACGACAGACTACCCACTGAGATTTACTGCACCAGACGTAATCCACATACAGCATTAAACGTAGTACACGAAAGTCAACAATCTTTATTGTCGATTCCGCCATATGTTTGAAGACTAACGTAATTTCAGTCCTCCGTGTCTCTCAGACTCCACGGTGAGTGCACAAACGACGACACGCAAGACAGATACAGATATTCAAGTATATACGAGTATTCAAAAATAAAATTAAACTAAATGAAATACTCTGTGCAAGCTGGGCAGAAGCTCAGATCAACCTGTGGTTTAAGTGGCAGCACCGTTTACTGATGGATGTAGCGCATGTGTGACACCGGGATGACCTCACAATATGCATGATGGTAAGATAGCTAAGATTTCCATCGCTCATAATGCAGCTCTGAAACTGCCGTATGTAACTCCCGAACCAACTCTATCAATTTAAGTTATACAGCAACTCTTCGGCCGCTACGTTACTGCAGTGAGTGTTAAAGGCTTCACATAAACGTCAGCTGCACCTCTCCACGACCGAAACGCATCACCTGCTAGGAACTCCACGACGCAAAGTCTCCGGTTGGCAGCTAGCGGACGACCTACCTAGGGAAGCGCATCTGCGCCTTTTACACGGTGGGAGATGCCTTCGCTGTCCGATCGTGCGCCCGTAAAAGTGGGGAAGCTATTGACAAACAAACAAAAAAAACCATTATGTCACCTACCTAAAGATCGGCCCTGGACCGTAATGGGTTTCCCTGTGCGGTGCAAAGCAGCCGAACGCTCCAGGAACCTCAGCGGCTCTCAGAGCAAGCAGACCCGCATCCTGACCTCTGCCAGACAAAAGGCTGCTCCGCTACGGCCGCACTGCCATAGTTCTCGGCTTGTAGCGGGAGTATCTGGCAGTCACTGGCTTCGTAGTAGCAGCCGCCGTGCAGACCTTACTCTATATGGACCGCGTACACCATTTTTTATTTTTTTTTAAATGACAGTTTCGTGCCTTTTTGGCTCCCCCGATCAACGCTCTGGAAGTCGACGGTCGCTATTTTTTTAACCAGAAAGCGTGCAGTTTTGCAGCCGCACCCTAGCAGTGGGGTGCTCTCCGTAGATCAGAGGCGATAGCCATCACCCGGAGCCCCCTCCCCCGACTTCGACGCCTTGCATACGCGATGCGATCCCCCCCCGTTTCTGCCCTAAGCCGGCTTGCCGCTCACCCGATAGCAGGATATTCGGAGAGATTATCTGGCGGCGGTGCTGCTCCGGTGGTTGTCAGTCAGACTGGCCCGTCGGCAGCGAAGGATGGGAGCGGATTCTGGCAGCTCATAGCCCAACTTTCTTCTTCGGTCACCCTCCTCGCCGACGGCGGATCAACCTCGGTGCGCATCGGCTGCCCGCAGCTGAGTCTGCCTCCCCCTCTCGCTGCTCTCAACGCACCATTGACAACAGCGATGATGTCATTCACGGGATGCTAAAAACACCCGGATCGTCTTAAAGGGACAGAACCATAAAAATTTGTCATTGCTGTGCGTGGAAACACAGGGGCTATCTCGACATTTCGGACAACAAAGCCAGGCCTTACTTCACTGACGGGAGGTTCGAAAAGCCTAGAACTACGAAATATGGCAAAGGACACCTGGTAAAATGTAGTATTTGAAAGACAATGAAACTTTCAGGAGAGAGAAAGTACTGGCATGACTCATAAATGGAAACAAGATATTTATTTGGGATTTGTAAATATGAGATTAGAGGTCAGAGATCCCCAAAATGTTCATACTGTTTACATTGCATTATACACACATACATGTGTGTGCGCACGCATATATATAGTCACACACACTTCAGTCAAAAAAAAAGTTTAAATAAAATTCTTAAAAAAAGCCTCACACACTGAGAAACTCCAGTAGTAACCATAGTATTGTTTTTATTTATGCAATTGTAAACTAACCACTGTGACAAGCGAAGGAAAAAATAATAATTCCACAACGAAAGCAAAGATCCAGCCTTTATTTTAGGTGTCAACGTCAGGTAACCCTTTCTAACGAACAAGCACTAAAACAGATGCTCTCCAGCTGCTCTGACTCTCGCAGCCAATAGGACGGTCGGGTCAAGGCCTAGTTTGGTTTGACTGAAATGGAAGAGTAATTTTACTGGCTACATCACAGGCTGACGCCAATATCACAGAGTATCTGCCCAAAACTAGTGTCACAGGCTGAGGGATACTTCAACGTTAACCTACGTTGGGGCTGCTATCATGCCCTGAATTTAATACCCGGTAATGCGTGCCCATAGACCCTGGAGAGCACTCCGCCGTAACCGTCCCGGGCCGGTGTGAGGCGCGAGAGGCTCAGACACTTGAATGTTGAGCTTTCCCCTGCAGGCTAACCTACCTGAGACAGTCCGTTACACAGGAGACTCATGAGCTGGGGGGGGGGGGGGGGGGGGGGGGGGGGGGTTATGAAGGACGACACCATTACAGTAACTGGTGGATTGTGATAAGGCCCCCACCTGCAAAGGCAGCGATGCAAAAATGATCTGATAGTCAAGCAAGTCAAACTTCTGTCACAGCGCCCTGGTAGTGCTTGGGTATGGGCAGCTTAAGCTGGTACCTTATTACCTTATGCTCTCAATACAAGCATGGTCAAGTAATAGCAAGGAAACAACTCAAAGTCAGTGTACATAAAAGGGATCCTGCAGAAGTTTAAAAAAAAAAACAAAAAAACAAAAGTAAAGGTAACAGCTGGTACATCAGTGGTTCTTTTAACAAAGAACAGGGCAAACAGACTGCACGTGGGGTGGGGGGCAAGCTTCCAGGATAGCGATAGGGATACACGGTCAGTAGCAACTAAAACGAGAATGACAATCAGAACGCCGCGAATCGCGAGTGTAGCGAATTGTCTAGAAGTGCACCTCTGATTATGAACAGCTAAATGGACTGAATTGTAAACATAAATCCTGCTCCCTCAGAAGGAGGATACAAAACCATAGGACAGAAGACTCTTTTATTCCAGTGTCTCCCAACCCGGTCCTCAGCAACCCTCAGTAGGGAGCTGAGAAGGAACAAAAACATGGACTTCCTGGTGGCCCCCGAAGACTGGGTTGGGAAACACTGCTTTATTCTACTTGCTTTGTTAAATTACTTCTTTTGTAAGAAACACACAAACAGGAGTGTTAAAGCCTGTCTTGTATTTAAACTATAAGAAAGGGGAAAAACAAACAAACACACACACACACACACACATACTTTTTTAGGCATTTGTAAACACCCGTCCAGCTCCACTAGGTAAAGATTTGGCATTTTTCAATATCTATGCCTTTCAGTTGTTTGCGATTCTTTATTAATATTATTACTGAAATTCAGACAAAACTGCCGCTAAAAATCAAAGCAAAAAGATTAATTAGTGCCAATGGTGTCGAATGTGTGACCTAGACACACACCCACATATACTCTGCATACATTTACCAAGCCCACTCCAAAATGTTTATAACACTTAAATGTAAGCTGCCTCGTGCACCCTCTCACCAGTCACTCAAGGAACGAGCAGCGCGAACACACACACACACACACACACACACACACACACACCACGTTCTGTCTCATGAACACCAGACAAAACACCCTGGATTTGGTCACCCACTCATGCACTGACAGCTTCCACACGATTCACTAACACTAATGCACACGCGCACGCACGCACACACAAAGTCACGAGTGCCTCGCATAGCAAAATAAAATAGTCATCATAATAAAGACAACGAACGATGACTGAACGAGAAAACGAGGTCAGCATTTGAAGGGAAGGATGACATCGTTTCTGGATTCCACCATCCGAAAGTAGGAAAAAAAAAATAATAAATCTGTAAAACATCAGAGCAGTGTATGTATGTCTGTGTGAGATACAATCTGCCTGAATATGCAGGGATTTACAGATTGTATATGGTCGTCCAATCACATGTGGCGACTAGCACATCCACCTGTCTGAGCTTCGTTCTGCGTGTGCGTGTGTGTGCATATATGGTTTCAATACAGCTTCAGTTTAGATCTTAGGCTGAGATTCAGCATCTCAGATCACCTAGTTCTCCTTCTGGTCAAGTCTTGCAGTTTAGTCTTCATTTAAGAGAAAGGCCTCACATAGGTGCCTCACAGTCTACATCTTGGTTTTTTTTTTTTTTTGATTAGGTTTTTTGGTGGAATACATCTAGGCGTGTGAACGCATGTCTGCACAAGTACCGCCCTGTGTGTCTCCTCCTGCAATTTACATTGCACGCCACAATGATGGTTTTGGATGAGAAAAGAAAAAAAAAAAAAAAATGCACGCGTGCCTCTCAGATGGAATCGGCCCCACCCCCAAGAAGGTCGCCGGGCAACAGTGCAGCCGGGCTGTCCATCTGGTGCCTGTCCTCCATCTGCGGTGCCCCCCAGAGGCTGCTGCCCCCAGGGTAGCCTGGGGTCATGCCTCCCCAGAGTCCAGCCCTGCCTGGATCCATGGCCTCCACACCAACCCCAACCCCTGCCCCACCAATAGCGCCCCCGTTACTGCTCCACTGGGTGAAGATGCCCATCCCGGGACCTTGGGCAGAAGGGGCGTCCGGCGAGCTGCCTGTATCGTCCAAACCCTGCCAGCCGGAGGTGGGAGGCCCAGCACCGCCGCCATTGCCGTTGCCCCCGGCCGCTCGCTCGCTTCCTGGGGGGCTCCCTCTGCCACCGGCCCCCGACGTGCCAGTGCCCATTGGGCCTTGGCCCACACCGGATCCAGCCCCGCTTCCGCTCCCGCTCCCTCCCCCCTGGGAATGTGCAAAATACCGACTGACTTCTTCCTCACTAACAAATTCTGCCAGGATTGTGGTGTTGCCCAGGACACACCTGAGGAACAAGGGGGGGGGGGGGTTACATCGGTCAGGGAAAATGTTTTACATATTTCTTACATTAGAGCTGCAACCATGTAGTGTAATTCAGGTGGGAATAAAGTAATTTAACCACCTGTTCCATCATTGCGACTGGCGGCCGGGATGATTTTTCAGTTATGTGCAAACTCTACTGCCAAGCCGTATCAAATGTTTTTTGTATCCAACCATCATAAGCTACTGGTTACGTGCATTTAAAACTCCTGATATTTACAGTGAGACATATTCTACACTCAGCATTTACACAGAAATATCATAATGCATCACTTTCATTCAAATCAGAATACAGCAACATCATACTACTGTTACCAATAAGATCCTTTAAGTAAAAAGTTGACTAGGGCACGACTTCACATCACCACGTACTCGTGATTAAACAGCGCATGCCATGTATCACCAGGGCTTTAGACGAGGAATGAAACATTTGATAAGATTAGAAATCTGTATTTGTCCACAATATCTCCTCTTTTAAACGATGCTGTGCCTGCTGATCTGTCCCTTTCTTCACCTCCACTTCAGTGCATATCGCTCCCATGACACCAAAACAGTAGTATGTGGCGTGCTCCACTAACCGAACTGAATAAACACAACGATATGCTGAATTTATACAGATTACTAACTTGTGGGCATCACAATATACATATCAATATTTTAGGCGTACTACTAATCTACTTACCAAGTTGTGGGCATAAGTAAAATGTCCACAAAGTACAGAAGAGCTGGCGTCCAGTCAAATGTTTCGCCCGTCCTCTAAATCCCTGGTGATTATTGCGCATGCGACAAATAATCGCAAGTACATGGTGATGTGATATCATGCAGCTCGAGTTATTATCCCGTATCATAACATAGTGTTAAAGCCAGCAGAGAGCCATTGTTCCCCATCAAGCATCTCCTGACATAAACACTGCCCTCTTTATGAAAGCAGTCAGTTTCACACAATGATAAAGAGCATCCTGTCAGGCTATTGTCAGGGCAGAAAACGGTGAGCATTTGTTTCATTCTGAAATGCTAGAATTTGACTTAGAAAGCACTTTTCTTTTTAAGAAAGCACCAATTGTGAAAGACTGCTATCAAATGATGCTAACTTTGCTTGCCGTCCCATGACAGACAAACTGCACGCTGCGGGAAGGAACGTAACGATACGCCATCGGCACGGCGGCAGACCGGTGGGACGAGAGAGAGCCGTTCTTACATGTGCAGTGCACTCTGGGCCTTGGCTGCTTCCTGTCTGCTGCTGTAGCAAATCAGAGCGCTGCCCTGGGTCAGTCCGAGGTGAAAGGTCAGCAGGGGGCCATGCTGCATACAGATTGTACGGAGAGTGGAGCCGTCGATCTGCGAGAAGACGGAGGGCGAGATGGTCAGCCCCCCCCCTTCAGAGCGTACGCATGCTTCGTACCCTCCTCCCACTGGATAATTTTCCCCTATATCATCAAATGTGATACAGGCAGATTGCGGTTTGATGCCGAACTACAGATCCAGGACGACGCTGCACTTTGTCTCATTTCCTTGCTGCTAGTCGCCCAGCCTGAATGCTGTAATACCAAAACCTCCATGTTCATCAATACGGGGCTGAAGCCCACCCCTATGAACTTCCCTACCTGGGGGGTGAGGTTGCTCAGCACCAGCCAGCAGCTGCCTCTCGAGGCCCCAGCATCACTCCATGCAGAGCCTGTGGGGGGGGGGGGAGCGGCGGATATCTCAGCAAATCAGACGCTTCGAGAAGCCAAGAGGGGTCTGCCAGGGTGTGAGTTTTGCTGACACAAAAATGTTCTAAATGGAAAATGACTGGTTCAGAGAGACAGCCAATCAAGACTGCAGGGGAGGTGGATCCAAGCAAGTAAAAGAGGTGGGACCAACCAATCAGCACTCTTCAATCTGATGGGCTCTCTCTGCGAGCCAATCATTTTTTTGATCTGCCCTTAGAACATTTTTGTTTAAGTAAAACTCCCACGAGCTACCCGGACCCCCTCCTCCGGCAAGGTCGAGGTGTGACTTACCTTGGTTGTATCTCATCTCCTGGGCACCCCAGCCCCTAGGAGGCCTGGGAGCCGCACCTGTCCACGGGGACTGAGGCTTTTGGGCCGTCAGGCCGGGAGGGGGGCGGGGCAGCTGGGAGCTCTTGGGGCCAGACTTCCACAGCTTATTGGGGCCGATGGGGTCCGGGGGCCAGCTGGGCTTGTATTCTGAGTACTTTGCTGGAGGGGGGAGAGAGAGAGAGAGAGACAGAGAAGGAACTGAAATGGAGGCAAGCAGAGGGGCGCAGACAGGGCAGGGCGGTGTGGGGCAGAGGTGCTACCTGAGCTGTGTGCATTGCTGACAGGGCTGTCTGGGCCACCGTAGGGCCAGGCCCCCGCGGAAGGCAGCAAGGTACCAAGGGAGGGGTTGGTCCCTAAAACAGACACAGGGGGAAAAGATGCAAGGTCTCTCCCAATCCTCAGTAAAAGCAGCAGCCTCACAAGCTTAGGAGAATAGATCGTTTTACAGCTTAAGACTCAAGTATGGTGCGAGTGAACCCTGGTGAGTGACTAGTACCTGTGTGGTCTCTCAGTAGCTGGTGCTCGGGGTCGCTGAGGTTGGAGGTCCCCGAGGAGCCCAGCACACTGCCAGGAGTCACATAGGGGTCCGACTCAGGGTCGGCGCTTTGGATCCCCTTCCAGGGCACGCCAGGCTGGAACTCTGACCACAGCAGAACCGCGAGTCAGTCACCCGGCACACAGCTACTGATCCGCATGGCTGGCAAGATGCCTGGGCAGGCCCCGCCCACTGGGCACAGCGCCACAGCTTACCTGGTGGCCAGCTCGAGCTGCCTGACTTGGAGCTCATTTTGTTTCCCGGAGTGCGATGCCAGTTGTCAGAGCCGCCCTGAGGGGGCACCCCAAAGCCGTCACCCCCCAGCATATCATACTGGTAGTAAGGAGATCCTCCCCGCAGCTTAACTGGAGCTGAAATAGGGCCTGTGGTGGGTCGGTTAAGAAGTATGAAAAAAGAGAAAGGAAGATATTAAACAAGTAAATCAATAGACATGGTTTTAATAAGGCTTACATAACCATTTAAAAAATATCAATCTAAATGATTATGTTCTTTAACTTGTACGTCATTCTTTGCCATCCTCAGCATCTGCTCTAGAAAAGGGACTCATGCACACTCATGAGCCAATAACAGCTCTTGACTCTAAGATGTGGTGCTACAAGAATGGATCCGATTGGACGAGCTGCACAAGCCCCTGGCAAACCTATGGAAGGCTTGGATCACCTTAGCACTGCTGCTAAATCCTTTAACATAGCTGACTAAGGGGGGGTGGGTTGCTTCTCACCGTTCTTGTGCAGATTCGGGTCAGGGGATGGGGGGGCCGGCGAGTGTCCCTCCATCATCCACTTAAAACGAGAGTGCTGTCCTACGGCCTCCTTCGCACTCCCAGGGCTGCTCACCATGGAGCCCAAATCCAGCCCCGGCAGGTTCGGACCGGGGGAAAACCGTGCTGCGGTGAAGGAATCAGTGAGAAGGCATCCAGGCCGTGCGAAGCCAGGGGGCCATCAGGAAGGCGTCCCCCGTCACAGCCGGCAAGAGACTCACCCGAATATCCAGCCTGTGCCTTGGAGTGCAGGTCGACCAGCGAGGTCGGCATCCCAGGGGGGCCCGGCGGCTCGCCCAGGGGCTGCTTGGGGGCGCCGCCCCCCAGGTGGGACGGGGATAGCTTGGAGCCGGCCCCAGACCCCGGGCCCTGCTGCTGCCGCTGTTGGTGGAGGATAGCCATGACCCGGGCCAGCTGG